ACCGCGGCCACCACCACCACCACCGCCACCACGGCCACCACCACCACAGCCGCCACCGCCACCACTGTCACCACCATCGCCACCACTGAGATTTGCCAGCAACTGACCCCCCACATTATTACCAACCATACTCCCATACTCCAGAAGCCTCAGAGCCCTACAGACTGCTTATAAACACCACAAAACAAACTTTAAACTATCACAGTAAAAGTTGTCTTTTCTTTTTAATTCTATTGAGTTCCTCTGAAGGCAAAGACTGAATAGGCACCCTTAACAGTTATAAGAATAAACACAAAGGTTAAGATCAGCTTCCAAACCTTATACAGTGTGTCTTCAGTGTTACAGCACATGATACTTTTATACCTTTTGTCTAAACCTCAATATATTTTTTTTTCAGTTATGCTCTAACTTTATTTTGCTTAGGCTGTCAGTAACATTTATTCAGGGCTACCTTATTATGCATGTTGCTATATTATTATGCATGTTAATATTATACACCTTCTTTTTTATTATAAAAGAAGCCAAATTTCCCCAGGACACAATAGAAAGAGTGACAAAAACAATAATTATTTGCTAAATCCAGATCAGACCCCTCCATTGCAATCTCTGGATCCCAGTTCCCTTGAACCTCTTTCTGATCCTACAGGACCCCACACAGATTCATAAACGGCTATGATCATTCTTTCTCCTGCTTTACAGTGGCTTCCAGTTCTTTCGTCATTTCATAATAGTTCTCCCTTTCCCTGCCACTGCTACTGTCACACATCCCGTTATCATCAGGTTGTGCCCAAGGCTATAGCTACACATTTATTTTGTTCCAACTGAACAGTGGAATTTCTCTCTCTGTCTCTCTGTCTCTCTGTCTCTCTGTCTCTGCCTCTGTCTCTGTCTCTCTTTCTCTGTCTCTCTCTCTCTCTCTCTCTCTCTCACACACACACACACACACACACACACACACACACACACACAAGCTAAGTACTCTATTTCTAGGCCACAAGATAACACTACCCTTGGACTCCATTGCATAGAGAACTCTAAAGATAGTTTTTACTCCACTTGCTTTCCTTTGCAAACCTCTGCCAGCAACTCTGGTACAAGTCTATAGAAACTACCTTAACAATATAACATTGTTAAAATCTCTAGCGGTTGGGCCCAAAGACCTTCTGGAAAACCTCACCCTTCCAACCCTGAGCCTTCTGCCCTTCCTGCCCTGCCTATGGTCCTTGCACCAAGTTCATGAGCACCCTCTCCCTGCTCAGGTCTGTTATTTCCCTCTTGGGTACTCACTCTACCGGGGCTCTTGGTTTTTCTAACAGCTCAGCAGTCCCGGGGCTAGAGTTGGGGTAGAGTTGTCCAAGCGCCTCAAAGGCCACATCTGTCTGGATTCACAGCAGACAAACGGTTTAGGCCTGTGCCCTTGGGACTCCCTCTACACAATTTATGGTCAGTTGTTTACAACTCAGAGCCATTTTCCTAAAGAAACAAGCTTAAAATGAATAGGTGGGTAACCAGGAGAACCTACAAAAGTCCGTTTGAATCACATACCTCATCTGGAGTTCTAAACGTACTCTAGAACCTACCTAACAGCACATTATGGTTTCTATGGCGTTTATGGGAAAATGAGTTCTGAGTTCCAGGCCTGAGCAAACCTCTTCCTCCGCCA